GATAAATTAGTTATTAGTGCATATAATATAACAGTATTAACTTTAAATATTCTTTTGGCAAGTTTTTGTAATAAATTATCATAAATATTTACTAATATACTGACCAGGTGGAAGAGACTGCTTCAATTTTTCTGCCTTTTCTCTATCCTGAATAACTAAAGTATACAAGTAACGACTACAACGAACCTTGAATTTCACATTATCTTGGTTCTTCTTAATTTTTACAGCTGAAATTTTAAAGTAAATATACAGTATATCTTAAAATATATATGATATGTATTAAAATATATTTATTTATTCTAAAAGCAATTCTAAAACTTGACAATTTTTAATTTCTACATCAAAATCATTCTGATATCAGATTTATTTGCCAACTTAATAAGTAAAACTTTTTTTATTACACTTCGGAAAATAAATGCATTAAAAAAATACAGTCGACCCCCCTATAACACGGGTTCCTATAGTTTGGATTCCTATATGACAGCGAAAAAATTGCAACGGTATCCGTACAAACATGGTAAAAAAAACTCCCATAATTCGGTAAAACGTCATCGGAAGCGCAACTACTTTCCGCTGTCCAGTGCCACGCCACGGAGAGTTTAGGCAGGTAAATTAAGCTTACTATCGTCTGTACAGTATTATATATAACTTAGGTACTGCCTATATAATTATATATTAACTTAATTTATTGTAACTTTATTATAATTATATATATACTTTCCGCCGTCCAGCGCCACGCTACGGAGAGTTTAGGCGAGTAAGTTGAGTTTACTATCGTCTGTACAGTATGTAAATTAGGTACTGTAAGTCTAATACAGCATTAATTTTATACATTTCTTGTGAAAGAAACACTTCTTATTCAACATCCATAAAAATTATTTATATTAATGATGTCTCCAAAGTTAAACGAAATTTTCACAGAAAAATAACTTATCAGAAATTGCGGCAGCCATTTGTCTGCTGCTCCGCGACGAAAACAAGCTTAAGCAATGGCGACTTCGAACGGTGCACACTCAGTAAGTAATCCTACAATTTTTTGTTTACAGCATAATTTATACGGATTATTCCCCCCCAAAAATATACGTGTTTTAGAAATGTTGAGTCAAATTAGTCTAGGAATTGATTAATTTTATGGAAGAAAACCTTTCAAACAGCAGTAGTCTGTAAAGTGCATACGTGCCGGGCTGTGATTGGCAAGGACTCATACAAAATTGATTCATAAAGAATGGAACCCATCTACCGTGTTATGGGGGGGTCGACTGTAATAAAGTATGCAACCCCCTGAAGAAAAATCAATTCAAAAACTATGACCATATCTGCAGTAGAAGCTGAGGCGCTATCTCCTTTATCTTTGCCTTTTCCGATGTTCCGATGTTTAAAGTACCTATTCTTATACTTGTCTTCTTCCTCTTCTCTTTCTGGACTAACTTGTTTATCCAAACCCGTTCTTGGTTTGGTAGCCCCAGCTCATTTGATATAGTTTTTGGGAAGCATGACTGCGCGTTGCTTTGGGGGGATATCCTAACACGGTTATAACTTACTTGTAGTCTAGCAGACATTTCATGCAGTTTTGGCATAGGTTTTACGTTATAGGATTTAGGACGCCCTTCCTAATTCCAACCCTATTTGTTATAAGGCTAAATAATATATATACTATATATACACTAGAGCATCAATTATCCAAAACAATTCAGGTCTGGGATTGTTCAGATAATCAATGTTTTGGATAACCAATTATGTACGAAAAAATATATTAACCAATCCCATGTTGAACTTCATTCAAATTCTGCCGCATCCTTAAGTAACCTATCACGATCAGTCCAGTGCTGCCAGCTAAAACACACACACACTAACAAAAATAATAAATTGGAGTAGCCCAAGACATAGCCAAAGATTGCAGTGCCACAGTTGAGAAGTTAAATTTGCCGACTGGAAACTTTTTAGTTAACTGGTGTTTTGGCTGATCGATATTTAGAAAATTGATGCTCTCTCTTTCTCTCTCTCTCTCTCTATATATATATATATAAAATTTGTTCTAATATTGTGGATTTGATAAGATCCAGAATAATGTGTCATGTGATGAGAAATGGAGCCCAACATATCTGGGATGGACTACCCAAAAAAATCCTGGGGCTTTTTACCAATTCAAATCTGTTCCCATTTATTTCCAGGAACTGCACACTGACACCTTAACTACTTGGCAATCTGGCTGACTATATTAATACAGTAGTCTATAATAAATGCATAACATTACTTTCATTAATATACTAACTGTAATATCTTTCAATGTATAATATTGTAGCTTTACACGGTATAGCTCAAACAAATAGGGACGTGGGCAATGGAATATAGGACACCATTAAAAAATCTTTGGCAAGTTATTTTAGTAATAACTACTGTACATCAGACCTACTGGCAAACACATTCAAGCCAAAATTAAGACTTCCAATAAAATCTTAATAGTTTACATAGTACATAATCATAACAGTATAGCAAGTCTTCACTTTATGTTGTCGAGAAAAGATAAAAGTACATATCATTGTTGAGTTTTCTTTTTAATAGAAAACTGATTCTATAAAGTGGAAAATAAATTATGGAGGTTGCAAAAATTATATAGAATTGTTTGTATATAGTTCCTAAGCAGATAGTTTTACAAGAAAAAAGTTACTTTGCAATACTCTATATTTTGAATTTTATAAATAAAAGATAAATAAATTGACAGTCCTTTTAACAGATAATGCTTACATATTTCTATTATATAAAATCAATTTATTTAAATCTTTACAATTTTAAGTGAACTTAATCTAACAATTTATCAAAATTAGAATAATTGAGAGACTTACATTTGGCATCCTTTCTTCTAGCAGTAAGAAGAAAATCTTTAATATCTTTGATTTGTTTTGGCTGAAATTAAAATTTTACCCATAAGAGAAATGTCTATGAATTTCAACTTTTTCTGATAAATTCAGATTGAAGAAATATTTATAAAACAATAATTTATTTTAGATAACATCTAAATTGAACTTTCACTAATTGTTTAATTATTACATGAGGTTGTTCAGATTGATGAAAAAAAAAAAAAAATTAACAGGGAATAGGAAAATGATAATAATAATAATAATAATAATAATAACTCTCCCGTGGTCACCACCTGGTCGTGGTGGGAGAGCCCAGTAGTTTTACAGATCCATAGGACAATGCAGGCTGGAGCACNCATTATAGACATAGCCATTCCAAACACTCACAATGTACAAAACACATGCACTGAAAAAATTAGCAAGTACACAGAACTCGCCCAGGAAATCAGGCATCTGTGGAGGATGGATAGGTTGGTTATTGTACCTGTCGTTCTCTCCTGTACAGGTGTGATACCACACACGCTACACAAAAGCCTGGGAACATTACAATTGTGTAGAAATACATACATCACACTACAGAAGGCCACTATATTGAATACATGCCATATTGTTAGGAAATTCCTTAATACAGACACTGACACACACATTTAATTTTAGTTTTGTTTTGGTTGCTATGCCTTGACTCTGGTCCGGCATAGTACACAGCCACCGGTGTGTACCGAGTATAACCCACTAAACCCAACACATAATAATAATAATACACTACAGATAAATCAAATTTTTAGGAACTTTTTATACCATATTTGATATGTAGCCTACATTTGCATCAAAATGTATAGTACATATTAATTTTACAAATTCCTCATATTTTAAAAATAATCTGTAATTTCTTTTTGTTTTTGGCTAATGTTGAATGTCAGGTATCTGTTTTTGAACCAGGGTACTTGGGTACAAAGCTATATTACTTGGGTAATCGGCACCACATTTATTATGTACACAACACGAACAATCATAAATGACAAAAACGATTAGTAATTATTTTCTAGAATTTACTGAGATCTATTTTGCTGCTTTTAACTGAACATTCAAATTAACCTACTCTCTTTCATGTCTTAAGCAAAATTGAGTTTTATTTATTTGCATCAAGACATTAGACATGTTACGTTGAATTCGACTAACATTTTTCATCATAATATATATCACGATAGAACTGTCGTTAGCAGTGGTTTTACCTTTGTTGTTTCGTATAGTGATTCATTATTTATTATTGTTATTATTAAGTTATCAGGAAACACATCAGAGACGCAAGGTGTGGCCGAGACAAGCGAGTAGTCACGCGATCAAACAGACCCGAAAAACATCACGCGACACGCTCCGTACACGTCTGCCTTCCAACACGCAGCTCCATCACAAAATCGAGCTTAAGCCACAGAATCTTCGAACGGTGCACACTCGGTAAGCATTCCTACAATTTTTTGTTTATAGCTTATTTTATACGAATCGTTCTCAAAAAATTATACTTGTTTTAAAAATGACCGAGTCAAATTAGTCTAGAATCGAATTTTACGGAAGAAAACCTTCTGGTAAAAGTCCATCCTTACTAAATGGGGCATTTTTTTTCTAATTTTGCTCAAGAAGTGTCCTAAACACAAGTAATCCAACGAGTTTTCGCTTATAGCTCTTATACGCGTCGCCCCAAAAACGTCTGTGTTTAGGACATATCTGTTAGAGAGGTGTCTTAAGAGAGCAAAATTAGACAAAAACGCCCGATGTAGTAAAGATGGATTTTACCAACCTTTCAAACAGCCATACTCCAAGTGCCGTTTTTTGCTTATAGCACTTTTTGTATGGGTTGGCAACAAAAATTCAGTCTGTGAAATGTCTTCTAAAAATAAAAACAAATTAAATGAAAACTTGTAATGGTAAGAATCTATATAATTACCATAACTTTATTCACATAACGATCAAAGTAACGTTAATCAGACCAATCAGATTGATATGATACAAATTTTCATAAATGCACGCTTCATTTTGGACGATCTTCTCCATTAATTTTTATTCTAACACATACAACAATTTTCATAATTGTAAGCGCTATAACTATGTCTTATTTGATTTTCTTTCAAAAATGTCTAAACTTACCATGATGGCCGCAGAAAAATTCCAGACGAATGTGTTACAAACACGTGGCTACGATAAGCCTAACCGACGAGCTGAATGAGGAAACGACAATTAAAATATAATTAAAGATTAAAGTTAATGTATTTACTAATTTTTAAATAGAAATGTTAAATTTCAAAAGTAATTTTCGTATCGGGAAGAAAAGAAAGAAAAATCATACGTACGACAACAATAAGAACCAGGTCGGAAATGAAATAAGTCGTTAGGAAAGTGTTGCCAGAATTATGATTTTTAACGTAAAAATTTTTTTTAAAAATAGCCAAAATATAATTATGCTTTCTTAAATATTTAAAATATTTTTTAAAATATTAAATTTACGTNTTATTCATTAAATTTAATAAACTTCTTAGGACCATTCAATTTAAACGTTTAAGTAAACACACTATTTCCGAAATTTATTTTATTAAAAATTTGAGATTTTGTTAAATCATTTATACAATATTATATTGATATTTTACTTTTTAAAATAAAATTTTATTTGATATAAACCTCCATCAAATATATTTTTCAAAATGAAATTTAATTTGATATAAAGTTTTAGCAAGCGATGATTGATTTCAATCTTGCCCGTAATAGGCAATCATTGATGGCCGAGGGGATTAAGTCGTTCAGCCTACCTCTCCGAAGGAATCGGGATCAAATCCGGATTGGTCGAAAAACGGGGATTTTTTCGAAAGATCTATCCTGGATGTGTCGAGCCCCGCCCTCACTTCAGCTTCATATGGGCTCGGCCGAACCACGATGGGCTCGAAAAAAAATTCTCTCGATGATCACAGAGCGGAAAGAATAGAAGAAAGTTGTTCAGGACCTGTGCTCGAGCGTTCAATTATAATAGAAATGACATCACTTGTATCAAATCTACATCAATTAAATGTTCAATGTTCAAGATACGAAATTCTTAGGCAACAGCGTAAGGACTATGATAAATAATAATTGATAATTCTTTCCATAAGGCGAAACCATCTTGTCATTTCTTACAATGTATAAATCATGCATTGCAAGGAATAACAAGACGGTTTCGCCCGAATAAAAATTTTTGTATCCGATAAAGGCCATTGTCCTAAATCCAGTTAATCAGAATAACCAAATTGAACAGTCATTTAATTTGGTGACCTGGTGATATTAAATAGGCCCTCTAACTTATGCTTTGACTATTAATTCATTTTTAATGCCTGCTATCCCGAGAAGATTGCCGTAATAGTCCCAGTAGACCGAGTAGTGTCTTTCAATGGCCTAGATCCGTAGCACCGGAATTCAGCTCTTCTGCTGGAATCCCAAGATGTCCGGATTTAATCCATCCATCTAGTGCTTGGTCTTCCATGTGGTCTGCTGGATGCATTCAGATAGAAAAACATGACTCTGTAAGAGTCTTTCTTGTGGCATTCCGTTACGTGCCGAAACCAACATAATCGTAATCTTTCAATGCGAAGAAGCAGTGGCTCGATAGTGAGGCTCTCTTAGATGCTGGGGCCGTGAACTATGCGAAACCTCTTAACACCGGGAGATGATCTGAGAAATCTCATTCTTTAAGTCATTAGTTAACATTCGTGGATCATTTGCTTTCTTTATCGAGCACTAGTAATCCGTTTAGTTCCCATAGTTGGTGCTTCCTCGACTACTTCGGATGTCTACTTCTGTCTTACTTTTTATCACTCGTAAATGCAATCCCTAAATATTTGAACTTCTCCACTTGTCTCAACATAGCTCCATTTAGCTGGAGAGTATATTGAACAGGAAGTTTGGAAGTACCAACGCTTCGGGCTTATTTTCATTCCAGATATAATGTTCGAATAAAGTGCGCGATGTATGCGCGATAATGCAGAGAATAAAAGTATTCTGTTATAAGACCTTCCGTTGTCCCGTGCTTTAAGAAGTTGGGGGGCCAAAAATATTACAGTAACGACGAAAATAAGTTAATGTTGGTTCCGCCGTTTGGTAAGAATGTCGCTTGAATATTTCATTACGTCGGTATTCTTATTAACATCTCACGAATCTTTAATTTCGTGTCCGCCATTTTGTTACCGTTAAGATGCCAATTCTTCCGTCGTGTGGGTCGAAAGGGCAAGCAGATTCTACGCTTTATCAGCGTTGGAGCAACTGCGAATATTGACGATTCTCGAAAGTGTTATGTTCGTTTATCAGAAACTAGGTTAACGACATTTTCATAACATTAGGCAATACGAAACTACATATAGAGGCACGAGACACGTTTCACAAATACTTCAGACAAGGCCGCTCAATCTCTTCGCTAGTAAGGCCTTCCTCCCGTAAGGAAAATCACCGTATTCGCGCTGTTTCCATTTTTCGCTAGTTATCGGTGAGAACCACGTATCGAGTAAATTGGTCGTTTTGTGTGCAGATGTAGCAATTTTATGAAATTGTGATAATTACGTATAGTTATAGTTGTATATAACTGTATATAGTTATACTTACTCGCGAGTTATATACGGTCGACGGGACTTTCTCTTCAACAGCAACTTGGTGTTTAGATAAAAATATATTCATCGCGTAGTTCAAATAGAAAAGGTACATTATGCCTAAATATTGTTGCGTGTCTTTTTGCACATCGTATGCTGGATCTAAAACTTGCCCCGAAGGATTAAAAGTTACGTTTCACGAAATCCCATCGGACGAAGAACTGAGACAGAAGTGGTTATTTATTGCAAGTTCTTCTTTCAATATCACCATATTTCCGCGCTATCTTCCGAAATTTTTTATCTAAAAGATCTGCTTATTTTTGCAAAAACAATAAGTCCAAAAAAGTAGTCTAATGCAATAACAACATAAAATAAAACAAAATTACTCAAATTTACCTCTAAAAATTAAAGTTTAATGCATTTAAAATATCATCATCATCTATTTCATTCATAAATTTTTGAGTCAAAATTTAGCACGGTATTAGTTGGATTAAAGTTAAAGTAGCCCAAGTTTTCATTTTCGAAGAAATACTTTATCCTCAAAACTGAGGCTAGAAGATGTAAGCTCATTCTGTTTTTCAATTTGGGTTTGACCGAAGTCGCCGTAGAGAAAACTCTTTCCACTGTGGCATTGCTAATTGTCAAGCGACATAAACGCGACGCAAACTTCGACATTTCGCTAAATGCACGATCTCCTACAGCATTTTTAATAGTCGAAACTTTGCACCAAAACTCCGACGTATCAGTTGAAACATTATCTGCAAAGATACTGGTCCAGCTACTGTCGATAGATGCCGCCATTGACCCCGTATTTCTCTAATTTTGGATTGATCAGCGTAGCTAGGGGAAGAGTCGAAAGTAGGACTTTAGCAAATACTGGGAGATAAAACTCAAACTTTTTAAAGTAATTCCATGTTTTTAGGTATGGGAGTAAGAATTTTTTACAGCATTCTTTTTAAAAAGTTTGAACATCTTCACATAACTAGACTTAGTAAGAATTCCGCGTTACCGAACACGGCCCCGTGCTGCCGTTTCTAGGGAATTTCAACTTCTTAGGGTACCGTTTAGAGTAGTCTTATATTTAGGGTAAATCTAGAGTAAAACTACCCTGTGATCTGGTAAAAGTTTTCATTGTACACTCGTAAAAGAAATCTATGCCACATTTGATTTCGGTAATGTCATTTTTTCACATCCGTTTTCGCTCGAACCCGAAAATTTGCAAAATTTAACAACGAAGTTTTTGGAGCTATTGTTTAAAATGTTTAAACACGTTAAGTTCGATTTACAAGTTGTAGATACCGAATGGCGTAAACAAGCCCTACGGGTCAAAAAGTCACGCTGTCTAAAGATTCTACCGGTCAGAAATATTTAATTTAAAAAATGCTGCCGGGGAATTTGTTTCGAAATCTTGAAAAATTGTTGAGTTTATCGATGATATCACCAGCTTCTAACGCATTTAGTCAGCTACGTTTGTGTAAGACACGGCACAGCCATTCCCCGAAAACTGAAACGATTTGTAACTTAATGCACGCGCAGTCCGGTATTCAAAAAAATATTGTTTCGTTTGAACCTTCAAAACGAATGTTAAAACGCAAACATAGATCTAAATGAATGAATTTCTAGAACCGATCATTTACGTATAAAAGTATGTTCGAAATCCAGCGAATGGCTTATTTAATTTTCTATCTTGTAAGATACCCGACACGCGTCGAAAGTGAATTAATTAAAATTAAGTTAAATAATTGCATTCGTTAGACTTATGGATAGGCTTTATGATTATTTAAAAGATTTTTGTCGTTTGTCAAATTGGGATTACCAAACTAAATCATCAATTATCTCCGTATCGGATGTAAATTATTACCTCCGATAATAACTAAAATGTCCGAGGATTTTTAAAAACAATGAAGAATTGTTTTTAAAAATCTTTTTAAAGGTGGAGGTAATGGATGGCCGCCGTCCGGAAGCGGGCGGCGTAGAGAGAATCGGCGGACGGCCTGGCTTCGAACTTCGTAAGAACAGGGAATACGAAATTTTCTAATTCCGACGAATGTGCCAAACGTTGGAAGAGGCGTTTCTGACTAAATTACCAGCGAAAATTAAATTTTGAGAATTTACTGATATAGATACGGAGATTAAATCTCACCTTCCGGGGAACTAAAATCGGAAAGATTAGGCGTCGTAATGAACATTAATCGATGTTAGAGTGGGACTAAGTCACGAATTATCTGAAATCCGTTTGTGTGGCGGAGAACGTATTTGATTTGTAATTAGAGAGGTTGAGGCGCGCGTATTCGGCCCGAAACGTGAACGGCGCAAGGACTTTAAACTACAAGGATAGCCAGATCCCGTAAATTTGTTAGCGTGACCTTGGATCTATGTGACGTCACAGCAAGCCCTCTACTTCAACACGACGGATCTTTCAAATAACAAAATACGATAAAATATTAAATCATTTCTTAATTAATTATTAAATTACTACTAAATGTAAACTACCGTAGAATTTTCGGATTTAATAAGTGTACTGTACGTCAATAAATTTACAAGTCTTTTGTCTAATATTTATTTAACAAATTAATGAGCTATATTTTTTATTATGTGATTATCTTACTTAACTTTTTAATTTTTTTTCGACAATCACCATTTTCAGAAGGCATTCTTTTCAATATTTTATAGTTTTCTTGTTTAAGATTTCTATAATTAATTCTTATTATAGTTCTTAATTTACAAAAATCTTTTATTAAAGTAAAAGGTAAAACTGTTTCCACTGACTAATTCTGTACAACTCCGGGGCCTTTTTTATACGATTCATCGTGATATATTTCGAAATACTTATTCCATTCTATAGTTTTTGCTAGCCATTCATCAGTAGGTTTAATAAGCCCTCCATAAGATAAATGTTGCACCCATGACGGAATGCTATAGTTCTTAATTTACAAAAATCTTTTATTAAAGTAAAAGGTAAAACTGTTTCCACTGACTAATTCTGTACAACTCCGGGGCCTTTTTTATACCATTCACCGTGATATATTTCGAAATACTTATTCCATTCTATAGTTTTTGCTAGCCATTCATCAGTAGGTTTAATAAGCCCTCCATAAGATAAACGCTGCACCCATGACGGAATGCTATAGTTGTGATGATTTTTAATTTTGTTAGTGGAATTAATTAAGTTTGGGTATTTTTCTTTATATTTATAGGCAAAATATCCTGCTATATACTCGAGAGCATCGTAGGAAGTTTCTTCAGAGATTGTGTTAAAGTCTAGATTGCGTGTAGAGTTTCCTGAAGATTTATTTGAAGAAAAAGTAGTTTTACATTCAGTATATTGGTCTGTATTTTCACTTGATACTTCTACATGTGCTTTCTCTAAAACTTTGGGTATAATATATTCCTCTTGTCTTCGATCTGTAGTATTTACTTTTGACTCTAAAATACCAGGATTCTTACCTAAAATAATCAATCTAATCCTATATATAGCATTTAATGGGCTTGGATGTTCATTAGGACCCCGGCTTCTAATTTGAAAAAAAAAATTTTTTCCAGACAATCTTGATTTAAGTGCAGATGTATTTTATATCAAAAGTCGATTTCATATCTTGAAAAAGATCAATTAGCGATTTCATTGAGATTATCATTCCTTTCTGGAAAATTTAGAGGGCATTTTTTCCACTCGCTCTCATTGTTGAGATTATTTTTATCATTTTATTTAAATGTTCTTCTTGTAATTCCGAGTCTACACCATATCCATTTTTGCTTGGAACAGAACCTTTTGGTGCATAGCTATTAAAAATGTCGAACCACATATTTATATCTTTAATATACGTTTCATTTATAATAATAATTGATTCATAATAAACGTTTCATTGATATTCACATTCAATTCTTTCCATAAACTTATGTTACTGCAACTACAGTCACTGACGCGAGCTACTACATTATACGATAGTAAATAAAGTTCTGCTATTAATTTTAAAAGTATTTCTCGTGTCATTTTTTTGATCAAACCCCATGTAAACAGGTTGCTTCCAATTTGAAAAAAGAAGGTTTTTATTGCAACCGTACACAGCACACCTGGTACTCAGTATTTTGTTCTTCACCTAACATAAAAATATAGCTTTAAATATTTAATGACTTATATTTAAATCATCTTACCTTATAAAAAACTTAGTCAAATAAAACAATTACAGAAATATTAAAATAAATCACTTGGTTAATCACAAAATTGGACGAATATTAAAAGCGAAAACTAAACACGTGCACACCCTGCTCTAGGTAAACAGAGAGGTCAGGCCTTGTGCTGACGTCACTAACTTGGCATTACTGGCTAACATTGTAGAATAGGGATCTGGCTATCCTCGTAATATATAGTCCTTGTGAACGGCGGAGCGCCGCCATCTGGCTATTTTATACGGTCGATCGGCGTGAGCTTCATTTTTTTGTGTTCGTGGTTAAAATTACGACGTATTTTATTAAAATAATGATTATTTAAGCATTTACGAATAACATTGTAAAGAAACGGACGATTTTAATCCAGAAATTTAATTATTCAATTTTTTAGCGAGCGATGCGAAATGCCTATAGAATTTACGTGTATTTGTCTTCGTAATACGTTTGTAAATTTTCAAAACATTAATTTTCCGAGCCGCTTTCGAATTTACTTAAGCCGCTACTTTCCTCGACAAAGGTATGAGGTAGTCCGATCGTACGGTAGGAGACACCACGCTAATTAAAAATAATTATTTAGTGTTATTAAACGTCCTATAAATACTTTTAAACGGTTTAATTTGTTTATTTACCTTTGGTGGTAACCCTCGATGTTAAACGTATCCGCCGTTTTTCAACAAATTTCCCGCGAGTCGAAGCGCGACGTTCACCGAGTCACGCGATGTTGTAAACGAGCGCCGCGACGTCTTTTACTTAGACTCGTGGCATTTACAAGGGTGAGGAAATCCATCTTAGCATAGAAAATATTAAGTCACTCAAAGATACTGTATAAGGGAATACAGTTATTTCAGTTTTAAGTAACCATTGTATCTCGCGACCTTCTTTAAATCCATTTGAAGAAGGTTTAGATACAATGGTTACTTAAAACTGAAATAATCAAAATGGCTGAAGTTGAGCTAGCCTGAAGAGCCGATCGTCTGATACACTGAAGAAAAGCGGTTTGCAACACCAAGACATTGCTAACCACTCTGGTGGTCAATTTGCAAAGTAGTGACAACAAAGTCAAAACGTGCTGTAGCAAAGGAGCTGTTAAATTATAGAATATAGACTGATTGTAACATTGCTTTATAGAATTATAAATTAAAAAAATATCCAACTCTGGAACTTTCTCTCCATTCTAGAGTGATTCAATGTCATTTTTTCCATATTTTGAAAACATATAAGGTGATATTTACGTAAATAATTAGTTTACAATAAATGTGATGATTTCAGATGTAAATTACACTAGTATCAACTAACAATTAGTTTTATTTACTGAGAAAAATGTTCTATATTTTCTTCTCCTATTTTGGAATAAAGTCTTCTTTTTCATTCATCGCCTACTCTATTCCCATTTTTTGTTTTAATAAGATTTATCATTATTTTACAATTTTAATATCAATTTTTTTCATGCTCAAAGTATAACCATAATTATGTATTACCATATTTTAAAAATAGTCAATAATCAATAAATGTGACTGATCTTTTTAATTATTCTTGTATCAAAGAATTATTTATAATGAAAATATTTATTCAGTTAAAATTATACTTGAAAATAGTTTGTGGTTATAGAAGTGGGATAACTGTGAACCCATATTTTTGGATAATGGAATTTAAAAATTGGACCACCAAACAAAAATTTGCTATTTTACATAACAATTACATATTACATTCAAAATAATTTTTGAGTCTAAAACTTTTCTTATGTTGTGTCAATTTGTGCCGTTATTTTCTACAATTACAGAATCAATGTGTAAGTCACCTATGTAACGGACAATAAAAATGATTAATAAAAAACCATTTGTTCATTCTTTGAATTCTTTGCTGGACTTTAAAGGTCAAATTTTAATTTGTATTATCATTTTTAATATTAACATTTGAATAAACCATGTTGATGCTCTATACTGGACTGGTAAATCTGTTTGAATCTACATGCCAAAGCATTTATCTTTTAAAAAATGCATGTTTGCTGAAACTGTAGACACTTTACTTGACTTCTTTGAAAATAATAAATATATTTTAATTTAAATGAAAAAATACTGATTGAGAAAAGAATGATAAACTAAAGTGAATGCAAAACCAAAATAAAAATATAATTTGAAGAAAAATTGAAATTTATACAATAAAAAATAAACAAAATAATATGATATGTTATTTTCTCTGTTTTATAACAGAGGTTCTCAAAATCTGTGGACCTCTTGAACTGAGTTGTAGATGAATAGTGGACCATCTAGGCTTCAGTCCACTTATCTCTTAATTCTGTAAAAATCACCTTAGATGCACACTGAAGTGTTTTATCTACCCAGTAACTTAACATGGTGCATAAATTTTTTTTTGGCTAAATAAGACACAATTGCATTTTAGAAATATGATGGTCAGTCTGTGGGTCACCAGTGACCCATATTTTGAGAACCATCGTTCTACAGCAAGACATTTCATTTATGCAAGAAGGTACAAATATATTCAAAGACAGCATCAAATTAGTTGCATTCAAACAAATTATTTCAAAAATTGCATATATCAAAAAATTTATTTTGAAAAGTTTTTAGTACCTAAATATTAAATAACACAACTAAGAATACTAAATAAATATATTTTAGGACTAGCAGACCCCGCCACGCCTTGTTGTGGCTCAATGTATCTATTATAAATGTATAACACTTCCCCCGTGGGGAAAAATTTTTTCTTAGTGTACATTCTCTTGACGTACCCTATTAAAATGCAATCAAAAACACAAAAAACTGCATCTAAAATAGTATAATAGAAGCGAATTTTTTCACAGTAAGCCTTAATCCTGTCTCTCTCCCCCGTGGGGGGAATGTCGAAAAATCCCTTTTTAGTGTACATTCTGTTGACGTACCCTATTAAAATGCAATCAAAAATGCAAAAACCACATCTAAAATAGTATAAATAGAAGCAGAGTTCTTTATGGTAAGCCTTACGGGGAAGGCTTACCATAAAGAACTGTCCATCCCCCATGTTTAACGGAATAATATACAGCCTATGTCCACCCTGAAGTTCCATTCTAAATATTGGTAAAAAAATTTTTGAAATCGGATGAGTAGTTTCGGAGATTACCTGCTGCATACAAACTAACATACATACATACATACAAACATTACCTCTTTATAATATTAGTATAGATAAAATAATGTATTATTTTTATTGTTTATCATTATATAAAAAATAAAATTAAAAATTATCAATTTTTTTTTATTTCATTTGACAAACTAAATACTTTACAGAAAAGAGTCATATAAAAAATATTTTAACAACAATAACTTTCTTTGTTTAAAAGCTATTGATAATATGTTTGCTTGTGAAAGTCAGCATTTGACTTAAATGATGAGAGAGGAAGACTTCGGTTGCGTCCGTTGTTAAAATGTAAGTAGTTTTATCCGTCGGTAAAATGTATAAAATTCTTGGTTTGTGAGGAAATAATAAAAATGAAGCAATAAAAATCCGTAAATTACAGAAACTAAAAATAATTTGAATTAATTCTATACATTCCATAATTCTAACTAAATTACAATATTTTCAAAACATATTACAAAAATTTTATTAGAAAATCCTCATCAAAAGATAATGATCTGGAGAAATTTATGTATTAAAATGTGAATGAATTATAAGTTACAGTATTTACATATGTACACAAACAATATATATATAATTTAAAGGAAAATTTTCTTTGTTAAAATTACTATGATAATTAATGACACAATAAATAAAAATTTGGATGCTTTTGATTTATATTTAAAAGGGAGAATTCATTCCTAATTTGGTTCCAAATTCCAATCTTGCTTTCTTCTGCTGTCGTACATTTACTCTTAAAATACATAAATAAATAATAAATTAGTTATATTAAATTTATGAGATAAATAATTAAATGTAATGAGCTATGTATTTGAGGTAGTCCAAAAACAAGTTTCCTGCATTCATATTTTTGAAGATGATTCACTTATAGGTAAAAAATACCACCGATATAAGCAATATCCTTCTTGAGATGGGTTGTGTCTTGCTGAAGATGCACGAGCAGAAGAAGTTGAAATGTGAAAAGTATATTACACTGAGAAAGAAGATGGTGAACAGACGTGTTGCAGACACAGATGAAAGATGAAGGAGGGATAAATGTCCATTGTGGTTTCACACTGGCACTGAGAACCATAAGTAATAGGTGGAGATGTATGGTCTAGATGGTGATGGTGCAAGTTATTCCATGATGGGCAAAAAAAAATATGCAGCAATTGGGACAATCATCAATATCAATGAGACAATAACATTGCAAGGTAAAGGACAGACTACCAGACAGATGACTATAGAAGATCTCACCACAGAATTGGATGCTGGCCATATCCAAGCACACCACATAATCTGCAAAATGCTGGATTACTACAAAATATTGGTACAAGGAGTGCATCATCAGCTGAGCACCAATTGCAAGATTGAGCATCTTCCTGCAACATCTCTTATAGTATGAGAGGGAAAGAAAATAGTTTCTCTTCTGAATTATGATGGGGACAAAAGAGTCCACAATTTCACCCAGAAAAATTTGCCTTTACAAAGCTTCAAGTTCTACAGCCAAAAATAAGTTTAAAGTAATCCAGTTGACAGGCAATATTTCTCTCAATGTTCTGGGATGCAAAATGGAATAGAACTCATTGACAAAACTGGAAACTGCCATTTGATAAGGAGACCAGGTGTTCTCATTTCAGATGTCATTTAATTGGGAACATCTCATCCATCCTCCTAACAGTCTAGACCTCATGCCCAATGACTTCCACTTCTTGCCACTTTTCAAGAAGACACTAGGAGGGCAATGTTTTACCAAAATGAAAAAGTGGAAGAACCTATTTGAAGCTTCATCCCTTTGCAGGGCATTGATTTCTATGATAGAAATTTCTTTAATTTTGTAAAGCAATACATAAAGGTATCAATATGAATGGAGACCAAGTCAAAAAAATGAAGTGAGAATGTCTCTTCCTATCCATAACATATTTAGTGTCCACAATAAAAGTTCCTGTTAACAGCAGATCCGGGAAACTTATTTTTAGACTATTACCAGTATAATTTATAATAAATAAATATGTTTAATATTCACACAGTTTATTTATAATTAATAAATATCATTATAAAACATACAATAAAAAAAGTTTCTAATATGAAGTTGAGAAAGCAATTATATATTTTGATTTAGTTTACAATCACCACATTTTTCAAATAGTCATTATATACAAAATTGAGGTACACTCACTCAGCAGTATGTAAATCAAAAAACACAACACCTTAATTTGCTGAGAAAATTTAATGAAAAAGCAAACGTTTTCAGCCAAATCTGTTGGCCATTATCAGGCTGAGATATTCAAATATAAATAAAATAGAACAAAAATTTAAATACAAATAAAATAACAAATGACATATACATATACATATTTTTGCATATCTTGCATTTCATTGAATTTCATATAATGTATTATTATTATATAACATTTTAATATTTAATTATCCTATGCATATATTTATATACATATTTTGTTATTTATAATAATAATTTTTATTTTATTTTTTTTTCTTTATACATGTATATGTATATGTCATTCGTTATTTTATTTTATTTGTATTTAAATTTTTGTTCTATTTTATTTATATTTGAATATCTTAGCCTGATGATGGCCAACAGATGTGGCTGAAAACGTTTGCTTTTTCATTAAATTTTCTCAGCAAATTAAGGGGTTGTGTTTTTTGAGTCATTATATACACTCAACAGACTACATATACATATGGTTGATTGAGTTATTGATCTTTAATCTTTAACAGTCTTTTAAACTTAATAATTATACTGTATATCATTTGATAATAAAATTTATCAATGAACATACATTTCTTTTTTGTACAATTAAAATTTCTTCAATCTAAATAGATTATAGATGCAATAAATTTTAATTTTGTTACTAAATCACTGAAATTATGTGTAATTATTAAGTTTAAAAGTTAACAAAGTCATTTGCTGAATTTTCTATGATATTCAAAAATAAAAAATGTCTAAATTTAAATGAAACAATAATTTTCAATCATCTCAGTTCACTTTTAAAGGACAATATTAAGTTTGAGGCAATTTCCAGTAACCCTAGAGGAACACAAACTATACACCTAATTAAAGCTTATGATGAGAGAAGCATAATGGTACCAGCTTCAAGTCACAGAGCTTGAGTAAACAGATTGAAAATTCTGTTGAATTGCTTTATTTTTGCACTCAACAGATATATAATATAAAACTTACTGTTTTATATTTCTTTTACTAAAGAATATTACCTATATATTCATTTATAATATTATAAAACAGTAAGCAAGCATGTGCTGTTTTCTTTTCATTTTTAAAATTTGACAATTTCTTGATTTTTGAAATTCTCTTTAGGGGCAGCACTTGCCCCTTGTCTCTCCCCTGATTGTACCACTTAGCATTATCAATTTAGTTTACATTCAAATTCCCATTTTCAATTTTCATTTCAGTATTAGTTATTTGTAATTTTTTTAAGCAAGACTCTACAACATGTTAAACAAACTTACTTGATTTCATGACGCTTAACTAAGATATTTATTGGTATTAATAATAGAGGCCATAAAAATCCAATAATCCACACATAACAAGGCACATCTTTAAGAATTGTAATGCATGTTTCTAGATTTTCTGAATTAAGAGATACATCTATCAAACTGAAAACTATTTGCAGTAATAAACTAGAAAAATAAATTTGAGGCACATTAATTTCAAAATAAAGATAAAGAAAAGTATTTTAAATACTGTACTATTAATTATATATTATTTATATTTTTGTTTCATAAACAACTTACTAAAGTGAGGAATAAAATAATGAAGTTAAAAAACTTGTTACTGTCATTTATTATTATACCTGTTATAAAAATAATTTTATTGATATTTTTAATATTTTCGAAAATGAAATATTCTAATGAAATTATATTTTATTAGAAAATTAGAATATTTCAATGCCTAAATTTTTGACAGATCTTAACAACAAGGAATAATTGAAAAATATATCATTTACATAATTTTTATGTTAAACAATGGACTAAAATTCATATTGAAAAACTGAATTGCAAATAAATTACTTATATATCTAACTAAATTTGAATTATATAAAAATAATATTTACATTATAGGTATAACTATTAACCAGCATTTGTTTGTTAAAGGACTTCTCTTCCATATAAGATAAGAACGTTGGACAAACCCCATGGATATCATTTCTAAAAAAATAAATTTTTACATTAGTATTAATACCAGTAATAATAATAATAATAATCATAAAATTAATAAATGAACATGGAAGAGTGATATTCTTATGGAGGCTGTTTTAATTATTAAGTGATTTTAAACTGTAATTAAAACAAACAATATTTCTACAATTAAAATGGCAAATACAGTAAAATTAAATGAAACAAAATACACCAAGAAACCATAACATAAATTCCAGTGTATACTTTATTGATGGAATAGTGCTAATGCAATGTTTCTTAAACTATGGCTTGTGAAATACTACCTTCTGTAGAAATACTTGTAATACTGAAATATTCTCCAAGAATTAGGAATAGATGCATCTGTTAAGTACTAAAAATTTTTTAAACAACTTTTTTCTTATAATTATATTATTGTCATTTATTAATAAAATTAAGATTAAAGAATGTATGTACAGTAATACCTCGACTTACGCTACCCCGACTTATGTGAACCCAGAGTTATGCAATTTTCAAATCTTGTCAATTCATCTTTTGTTTGAGCGCCACGCAACTCTTGATTACTCACTCCCCCCACACTATTGTTCAGCTTACATGTCGCATGGAATCGACATATAGCTACAATTTATTTTGTTGTTATTTATTTCTGTGTTTCTTATATCTATGGAGACTTGAGAGACTCTATGTGGTGATTTCTTGTAACTGTGAACGAATCAAAAGACGAGATAAGATTAACGAGAACATTTATTAGCAACTTGGATTTTACACAAATTGTGAAATTATATCCTGATTTACGCGGTTATTGCTCGGTCCCACCTATCGCGTAAGTTTGGGGTATTACTGTATAAGAAATTGACTCTCTTTTCTATTTTGAATAACATCAAAATAGATATTTTATGTCAGGCTGTATTTATAAAACCATTTAAGTTGCAATGGTTTTGAAAACTATTCTATGTATTAGCTGCAAAATAAATTATGTAAAAATTATTGTTCTTAAAAATGATTAAATTCAATGAAGTATAAAAAAGTGGCTTAAAACTGCTATCATATAAATCTTTAATATTTGTAACTTTTAATTGAAATGGTTATCCGCGGCCATCCTTTTTATCCGAGTTTTTGGTTATCCAAGGTATCACAATCCATATTACCTCAGATAATTGGGATTTTACTATACATTAATCAAAGATTTAATATGACCATTTAATTAATTTACATTAATTAATAAGTTTTAAAACAAAAAAATATTTTTCTTACCAAAATATAATATTAAAAATAATGCAACAATGTTCTGAGATATAGTTAGACTAGACGGCCAGTTATTTGTTACTTCTGATTTATCACTGAAATAGCAATAAAACATATTATGTAATTGAAAAACTAAATTATAAATAATCTATATTCCATTAATCAGAAATACAGACTTTGAATATTGAAATATCCAACAAGGTGCCTGAGCATAATTATTAGACTGATTACAGAAACGTGCTACCATACACGCAAAACAAGAAATAGATACGACTACAGAAGGGCAAAATTTTGCACAGTAGCATCCAATGAAGACGAGGATTGTCTGAAATTAGATAATATATATTATGCTTAATACAATACAATATTTTGTTCATTTAATATAAAAATAATAATTATATGCATAATATATATAATCAACCAACCAATTACATATATTTTATAAATTTAAAATTTAAATTAACATGTCATCAAATTTCACAAGATATATAATTCAATAGTATAATTTCTAATCAATATGGCTTTCATAGATGATTCCATCCTATTAAATCAATTAATAAATCATTTATTTAATTGCTTTGTGAAAATATTCTGTTTCAAAATGGTTCATTATTTATATTTTTTATGTTCTATTTATAATAATTAATTAGCAAAGTTTTCAGCTTGTAAAGTACTATATTATTTTTCTGACTTTTCCAACGATTATCGACATGACTGTGTGCCGGAAATAGCCATTCCTTAGCTTCTGAGTACAAATTCACTGAGTACGGCATTAATAAACTTCTTTAGTATTCACACAAGTACTTTCGACGTGTGTATAACCGTCGTCATCAGGCGAAAATAACAAGTTTTTAAGAAAACGAACGTGCAGGATGTTCCAAAAGAACATAATATTTAAATTCAAACAAGCGTCCGAAAATTTCGTTACGAACGTGCGAATAATTTTTGATATTTCGAATCTTTATATTTTACGATGTTAGCGGCGCATGCGTGGAGATGCTACCGTGTTTGGCGATACGATGTTGGGCGCATTTCGTTTTTTAGGCGCTGATACAAGGCAATCCACACCCCGGGTAGATCGAGGGTGGGAACATTGCATGCTTCTGAAGTGGCCGTGAGAAGCGCTTCCCAGATGAACACAAGTCTTTGATTGTTGCAGCATTTAATTATTGCCGTTCTGGGCCATAACGGGTTGTATTCTTGCTCGAGAACTTTTTTAGCGAGTTCTGTAGAGTATCTTCCTTTAGCTATATCTTCCTGATGCTCAGCAAGGCGGGAGGCGAGCATTCTTGTTGTTGCTCCTATATATCTTGTAACATCGCCCGTTGCCGGATTTTCTAGGTGTATCGTATAAACCCCTGACTTTTCTAAAGTGGTTAGCCTGTCCCGATCGTTGCAGATACATCTGCGTAAGTTTGGAATTTGTACTCAGAAGCTAGACAAATATTGGCGTGAGTTATTTAAATTTATTTTTTACTTAGCCATTCCTTAACGGGTACTTTACGTGGATTCGTGTTAGTGTGCCAGGCCTGGACTTTAAGCGTGCACCGAATTAAATAATGACCAAGTTTGTCAATAACAAATCAAATATTTAATAAATAATTCTAATAATAACTATATACAATATTTAGTAAAATCAAATAACAATTTATTCAATGAAAGTCAATAAGAATCAACCCGACAAAACTCAAATCAATCTATTTTCTAACTTAATTCTATTCCCCTTTGGAATTCGACAAAATCAAAGACTTAATTTATGTACAATAATTCTTATGAATTAAAGATCCTAATCGTCACCTCAATATACTAGGAACCTATTTCCTCAACTCTCAAGACTTTCTCTATTCATCGTTCAAAATTGCCTTGGAACTATTTGATCCTATTGGACACCTCTCTCGTTCACTGCTACGAAGATCACCAAGCTCATTGCTATCAGAAGCTCACCTCGTCCATCTTCACATGAGGTTCAGTCTTTATACTGTGAGGTGACATCACAATTCTGAATGCGATCACTCCCCTCATTTATATACTTATTTGCTAACAATAAACATTCTATTTGTCTGGCAGCCTATTTTTCCAACAATACTCGCTAACCTTTTACATTATTCTTTTTGACAATTTTGGGGATGTTTTTTATTCTTTAAGGTTTAGCGAGTCCCTAAGTTGTGCTTGTGGGGTCTCCCCTCTTTTCTCGGTGCAGACTTACTTTTTCCACTCGGGAGCGTAAGTGTGCGCGAGTTTTTTCTATGGCACTTTTCTCTCGTTGGTGAGTTGGTTTCTCTTCTATTTTTAAGTTTCTAAGGTGAATGGTGAGGAAACCTTCATCCTAACAAAACATAAGCCCCAAACAAAAATATAATAAAAAGCAAAATAAAAGTAAATAAAAATAATGCTCGGACTTGGTTCCTTACNGAGAAAATTTAATGAAAAAGCAAACGTTTTCAGCCAAATCTGTTGGCCATTATCAGGCTGAAATATTCGAATATAAATAAAATAGAACATAAATTTAAATACAAAAAAATTACGAATGACGTATATATATATAGGCTATATGCATAAAGAAAAATAAAATAAAATAAAAATTCAAAATAGCTTTGTTGCAATATTTTAATTGCAATAAATCTATTCAATTTTAAAACTTGCCCAAGTTTTTCTCAATTTCTGTTTCAAAGAGAAGTTTTAAAAATTTTGCCAATTTTCTAAAGTTTCTGTTCATAGTAGAATGAATAAAATCTGTTTTAGCTTATATTCCTTTGTTTTGATGCAAATAAAAGGAATCAAAAAGTTTGCATTATATAGACTACATTTTATTCAACTTAATAATTCCACATTACATTTTATGATACTAGAAAGGTTTTATTGACATTAGATTGTCACAAAGGAAAACTGTCAGTTGGGTCATTTCACTAATGTTTATACTTTCATCAACTGCACTGAAAAAATAAACTGAAAATTGGACACTATCTTTTAATTGTTCTGACAAATTATCTGCCATTTTGTTTATTATCTCTACAACAGTGTTCTATGATAATGATATGTCACAAGATAATAAATCTCTTAATTTTCCAGTGAATTTGTCTATTCCCATCTATAAATTTTGGTGTCTCTTGAGATTGTATTTCTTATGAACATTAATATTAGGGCTGCATATTAACCAGATAATTTTATCTCTTACTTTACAGAGGAAATTAAGAGTTTCTATATCTCTTGAAAAACATGTTGTTCTTCTGTAATAGTTCTCTTTTTATCTAGTATTCAACTTTGAATAAAGCATCACTTAAAGGTAGAAATGAGTTTTATAAAAAAATTGTAAATGTTAATAATGAGTACAATCTTCATTAAGTCCAACTCTCCTCGAGATATGACATACAAACCCCTATCTTCCCATCCTTTGATCTTTAACCAACCAAAAATTAATAGCATCAATGTCCTTTATAAACAAGTTACCATGCCAAATTTCATTTCTTCATCATCCTGAGATATTTAATAAAATAGATGTCAACAAACACATCCATGGAATTTTTCTCATGTTTTTTGGTTTCAAGCGGTCTCAAAATGTATACGAGGGATGTTCAAAAAGTATCAAACCTTTGGTTGTCAAAAATACATTTAATGAACTTTCTCACCACACCGGGTTGTATATACTCAAAATACAAACAACCTACAAATAACCAATAACCGGCATGAAATTCTTCAAAAAAATCGCCGAACATTTTTGATGCCCCTCCTAGGCTCTTCTTCAGGCTTATTTGTATACCTTCCTTTATAACTGGAATCTTTAATTCAAATGTTTTTAAAAATTTGAAACATACCCTTTTTCTGAAAAAATTCCGAAAGTGGAAGGAGTCCACGAGCTATTTCAAATATATTTTTTCTACCAATGGGGATTTGTTATGTGCACAATACTTTATTTAAATTTATCTTAAAAATATAGTAAGATTTATCGTCTAGTAAGAATTGCCATACTGTAGAGAGATTCGTTTCTTCTTTGAAATTAATGCATGTGGATTTGTGGTCGGCTTTAAAGATTTCCATTGCTTCCAAAGTTCTTAGTTGCCCTCGATGTTGGGTGGTGCGGATAACATGCGCTTCATCGAAGATAGGTGTGATGCCCGGGTTTGGTGAATACGTAGATAGGGCTGTCGTACATTTACGTGTGATGTCGGATTTATGCTCTTTTATTCTTGTGGCTAATGAATGTTTGGTGGATCCGATATACACTAAAGGCCTATCCCATCTGTTATCTTTTAATGGAATACTGTATATTCCTGGAAGTCTGTTTGGGTTAAAATTGTCCTTCCCGTTCCTTAATAAACTGTATATGAACAGGTTTCTTTTGTATACAATCTTAATTTCCTTACTTTTGCAATTTTTTTGTACAATGCCTTTAGATACGGGTTATACGTTATTGGTACCCTCTCTATGTATTCTTCATTTTTAATATTTTGCACCTCTACCTTTTCTTCTGTAGGTTTGTGTGGTTCCAAAATATACAAAATATATTTTAATACTTATACTAATCAATGTTATTGGCAAAACGAAAGCTGAAGTGAGCCACACAAATGTTGGCTGAGAACCACAAATTTGACATGACTACTTTTATACTATATAATTATTACAATCTAAATATTTTCAAGTTACATTTAAAAATACTTTTTTTTAAATAATATGCATAAAACTATTTTAATTAAAAAATAAAATAATATTTACTTCTTTGCTCACAACTTCCAAATTTTTTCCTGTCGCAATAGTCATAACTTGGCAATCTACTGGATTTCCAAGAAAGGAAAGACTTAGCAGAGGGATTTCGAGACATATAAACCATAATATATGAGCAGGTGGTAGAGGTGATGGCAAGAATAGTAACATAGAAAGTAATTGTAGAAGTGTTAAGCTTAGACAACAACATAACATAAATTGCAGGCAAGTTCTCATGTTTCCAGAAAAATGCCGAGCCTAAATTTAAAAAAAATGTTTTATTAATTATCTTATAAAAAAGATATGAACATTTGCTATCAGATTTTAGATTAATATAGAGGCCATTTCAAAATGATCTTCGAAGCTTCTGGAAGCACTGCAGGAGAGACATTGAATTCATGTGAAAAAGAGCAGCAGTAGATGAAACAGAACCCAAATAATCTGTTTGTGAAAAATCAGCTATGACATTACATTAAATAATATGTGCATCTGAAAATACAGTAGAGCATCAATTATCCAAATCAGTTGGAGGCACTGGGGTTGTTTGAAAAATCGATTATTTGGATAACCGATTATGTACGAAAAAATATATTAACCTATTGCATGTTGAAATTCATTCAGATCCTGGCATGTCCTTAAGAACCCTCTCATGGTCTCACCAGTGCTGCCAGCTAAAACATGCACGCCAACAAAAATAATATTGGAGTAGCTCAAGACATAGCCAAAGATTGCAGCACCACAGCACTAGAGGAAAGTTTAAATTTGCCGACTGGAAAGCTTTTGGTTGATCAATATTCGGATAATCGATGCTCTACTGTAATCAACAACTGATGCTGTCGTCCAAAAGCACCAAACCTCATACCATGTGATTTCTTTTTGTGGGGTTATGTAAAAAATAAAATGTTCATCCCACTATTGCCACATGATATTGTTGAGCTAAAAGAGTGCATTTTCATAGCAGTGTCTACTATTGACAGGCCTGTATTGCAAAAGGTGTGGCAAAAACTGGATTATCATATCAATGTATGCCAACCACCTGTAATACACAGATTAACATTTGTAAATATTAAAACAACTGTTTGAGTTCCTGTCTGATCCAATGCTGGTTTTGTTGAGGTAAGTTCAGTATTTCTGTTTGCAGTGACTTTTTGTAACTCCAAGAAACATTATGAAATGCCCTGTATTACCTCATACCATTCAAATATTGCAGAGTGTTTTTCTAGATGTAATAGAATTACATAAACATAAGCATTAATAATCATAATATTTTTAAATTCAGGGAATCTAATCTAGAGTAGATACATGATAAAAATAATAGTATATAGGGTGATCAAAAAATAATTTTACAAGACCCATAGTTTAAAAACCAAGGCACTATCAAGCACAACTCCAATGTAGGTAGTTAGTAAAGATCCAATTTGGCAACATTGAATAGTTAAAATTATGCTTGAGTGCAGGGGTAGTATCATGTCCCACTCCTCCCATAATGCCAGTCTTGAATACCACACTGAACTGTGGATCTGCTGCAGATATTTCAATGAGAGGTTCTTTACATCTCCCATATAGTCTTTATCTGACCTTTCTGACTGACTTTCATGTTTTCTCAAATTTTTAAAAACATTTGCATATCTGCCATTTTTTACTGATGAAGAATAGTGAAAGTTGACATCACTGGGTAGCAGCAGCAAAAGAGAGGGGTACTTTTTGATAACAGGATGGATAAGCATGTTACACATTATACACGACTGAATAAACTGGGTGAATTTGTTGAGAAATACAGTAGAGCCTCGATTATCTGACTCAATTGGGGACTGGGGTTGGTCGGATAATTGAAAAGTCGGATAACCGAAAAGTATGAAAAAATCCATTACAGTAGAGTCTCGATTATCCGACCCAATTGGGGACTGGGGTTGGTCGGATAATTGAAAAGTCGGATAACCGAAAAGTATGAAAAAATCCATTATTAGTGTAGTATATTATTATATCCCATGTAATTAGTATATTAGTATATCGCTATTAACCTACTTCGCGTTGAATTTTCAAATCTATGTTAAGCCTAACAAAAATTTTTTAAAATAATAATCGTCGCTATTGTATCGTTAAAAATTAGAAAATT